TGCTTGAGAATGTTGCTCTTTCTCATTCTGCCCACTCCTGTTGGATTCTAGTCTGAATGGAAAAGTGAGAGGACGTCTGCATATGCATTTTACGTGCTTTTAATTAAAGGGACAGCCACAGCCTATGATGGTAAGACACGCCTTCTCGGAGCAGCAGAGCATGTGCCAAGGGCATCGGTAAGAGGCGCTCCATGGTTACGTCAACTAAAGAAGGTTCTACAAGGATGAGGTCATTAGCCACTGCAGTCGCGGGCCTTCAACACAACACCCTGAAAGGAATTCAGAGCAGAAAAAAGGAATGCAGCACTCTGTGCTCTGGGGAAACTGCAAGAACAGGCTTCCACATGGGTAGATATTTTCAGGAAAAACTTTTACGAATCCAGATTCTTGCATCTTCCCATACTTAGAAAAGTACTAAAGCCATTAACTAAGATACCTGTTCCTTGTGACTAACAGCATCCTTCTCCTAAGATGTGTGCTTGGGTACAGGCACCCCCTTCACCAAAATCACACACATACTGACTTCCTCCGTTACCTCTTTGTAAAATTTCCTCAGAGCTGAGAGGCTGTCCCCTGAGCTAGAGTCCTCAATAAGACACTGAATAAACTCAACTCACAGCTCTTACAATGTGAGGTGTTTTTTTTTTTTTTCCCCCAAGTCAACAGTTTCAGTGGCAACTGCATCTGATTAGGGGTTCCTAAGGCTGGAGCAGGGGATGAGGGCTAGAAGCAGAAGTCTTTTTGTGTGTGTGGGGGGGGGGGGGTACGCGGGCCTCTCACTGTTGTGGCCTCTCCCGTTGCGGAGGACAGGCTCCGGACGCGCAGGCTCAGCGGCCATGGCTCACGGGCCCAGCCGCTCCGCGGCATGTGGGATCTTCCCGGACCGGGGCACAAACCCGTGTCCCCTGCATTGGCAGGCGGACTCTCAACCACTGCGCCACCAGGGAAGCCCTTAAATGCTTTTTTAAAGAAACAGAATGTCAACTTCCTATCTTCCTAAAATAGGTTTCAGGCAGCTTTTCATATTTCCTTTAGTGAAAACATCCAATCCACTTTAAACACTGCCAGCTATGCTTTAAAACACTCCAAGGATCAATCGCATCTCTCCTCTCCTAATGACTTCTCCATTGTTTATGGAATAAAACCCAAATCCGGTGGCAGCCCTCGGGCCTTCACCATCTGACCCCAGGCTGCTTTCCCAGCTTCACCTTCGCTCTGTTCCCCCCCCCCACCACCACCACCCCGAGGAGGCGACTTGCCTTTCTCCGCCTGTGCCCAATTCCCCTCTGCCTCCTTCTGTCTTTACTCCTTGAGCTCCAGCCTCTGACAAGAATGTCTTTAGGCCCTTTCTTCTCCTGGGGAAACAAATCTTGTTTATCCTGCAAGGTTCAAGTTCTGCCTCCTCTGTGAAGACTTACTTGACACTGTCATCAACACCACTCACACTTGTCCGTGAGTTCCCAAAGCACGTTGCTCATATGTTGACAATCATGTCATTGGCTTTGTATTACAGTTCATCGTGGCCAGCGACCATGACCTGTTTTTTCCTCGAAACCTGACATGCCCAACAGACTGAGGAGGGTGTGACCATCACTTGCCTGTAAAGTGCACCCATGTTGCTGGAGTCAAACAACTCTGCTCAATAATGGATGAGAACTGACACACATGTCATCCTAACTTCCAAATCTGGCCTCTCCCCAGTTATCTGTAGTTCACTGTGGCAGGTACTAAAGCCTCCGTCTCTCTGTCTTTATCCCCCAGGGCCTCAAACCCGGGAGAGGAGCACAGAAAACAGTCAAAGAAATGACACATGCTCACTTCTAGTTCTAATTCTTCCATATACATTAGGAGGGTCCCTTCCCCTCCATCTCTAAAGACAGGGACCCTATTCTACATTTCTCTTCTGTCCTGCACGGGCCCCAGCACGGTTGCAGATGAGCCTTGTGGAGGAGGGCGGGGGGGGGGGCTTTGTTAAGAGGCCAGCAGAGGTGCAAACTACAGACCTGGAGGAGCCCCGGGACCTGCCCGCCTGCAGGAGGAGGCACTGGTTCATTCAACAGGGGTAGGAAGCCAGATGGTGGCCTGCTACGGGGCTAGTGCGGAGGGCTCTTCTGCCCCGCTCTGCTTGAGTTTGGTTGATATACACACACATTCAGGGAGAAGGCAGGGGAGAGGGCTGGCCAGGGGCACGGCTCTGTCCAGGCAGCAGGAGGAAGCCCGGGGGACCCCGGTCGCATGAACTCAGCACGCGAAGGGACAGGAGAAACACCTGGGCCCGGCGCCTTGGGGATCACGCTGTTTCCCTGGCGGCGGAGGAACCAAACGCGCGCAGCTCCTACCTTTCAGCTTCTCCGCCAAGAGCGCGGCCTCGTGCTCTGAGTAGTGCATGATGGGCGGCGGCGAGGGTGGCCGCAGCCGGTCCTCCTCCAGTTTGCGCCGGTGCCGCTCCTCGCGGGCGCGCATCCTCTGCTTGCACTCCCACTCGTAGAAGTCGTCCCGGGCCTGGGCGAAGTCCACGTGCAGCCGGCCCGAGTCCTTTTTGTCCGTGCTAGACCCTAAGCGCATCCGGTAACCTGAAACCAGTGGGAAGGCGGGTCACATCACACTGTCACAACACTGTCACGCACGACTGTCACAGTCGGGGGGGGGGGGGGGGGGCGCCAGGGGAGCTCTCACTGATTTCTTTTTCCCTTACGAAGGACATCCTTCCCATAGGAGGTGGGAAGCTGTTACCCTCCGAGGCCATCCGGAAGCGGAAGCGCGGCCCAAGGTACGCCTATTATAGATTTGGGGATAAACGCTCCAGTGGGAGGGGTCTTCAAGCCAATGTTGCCAAGAGGATGATCTCAAGAACCAGGGCACTTATCCTAACTCCTCCTTCTTTCTGGCTTCCAGGAAGATCAGAAAAATATTGGGCATGTAGCTTTTTTCCCCCTCCACTTTTTATGGCCTCAATTTTATATTTTCAATTTACTGTAACTCTGTTGCATAAGCCCTCTTACTTTTATTTTTTAGAAAGAGGTGGAGTGCGAGTTAATAAATATTATCTATGATATTTTAAAAGATCTACAAAGTAAATTCCGTGACACCTCACTCATAGGCTATTGCTTCATTCTCCTAGAAAATGCTGCTTGCTCCATTCTCTCTCGGCAGCTGCAAAAGCCACAATTACCAAGGCAATTTTGCAATGCTGTTTTATTTCCACTTATCCTCTGGGGCACACAGGAGAATATTTTACCTTCAATCAAGAGGCCTCACCGCGGCCTTCCTTACAGCCCCTCCAGCACCTCATCTGGCACGCAGCACTGCACAAATTGTCCATGCAATCTTTGAAGGCCACAGGAGCCCGTGTGAGAGCACAGAGCTAGACCAAAAAATGGGCCTGGAAGTCTTTGGGGGATTTACTGTGAGCTACACAACTTATAAAGATTATAAGCAGAAACTTGATCTGAGAAATCAACACAAACAGAACTGAAACCAGGCCGCCAGACTAAGTTCAAGGGAAGGAGGTTTGGCTTTGAGGTTGCTCTTCTGTTTGGGGTACTCAGATTTTTAAAAACATAAATTCAGGTCCCAGCAGGATCCCTGCTGTCAGGGGCTGCCAGAAGAGAGGGCAAAATAAGCACTTTTGCTGTGCAGGGACTTTGCAAATGAGACACCACTGTGAAATGCTAGGCTGCACTGCACTGATGCTCAGGACCTTGTGGTAGATTTCAATGGATTATTTTAGCATTTGGGGTTGAAACTCAGCTGCAAAATCCCAGGAGAGGCTGGCTTCTCCCCAGTAGGGTACTTCATACCTTTGAAAAGTTACAAATGTGAAACAGATCTCAGGTCTGATTCCTTTTATGACCTTCTCACTCCCAGGTTTAAAAGGTATGGTCTCTCTAAAACTGGGAAGACATAACAATACCTATCAAAAACGCAAACATCTCAAGAGGGAGGGGATTTGGGGATGTATGTACACTGTATAGCTGATTCACTTTGTGATACAGCAGAAACTAGCACACCATTGTAAAGCAATTATACCCCAATAAAGATGTTAGAAAATAAATTTTTAAAAAAGTGTTCACAAGCACAAAGAAAAAAAAAAAAAGCAAACACCTGATCACAGAGGGGCAGAATTAATGCTAAAGCAGAGTATATTTTGGTTGTGGGCTGTGGAAATTTAACAAATCAGCAGGCCATGGTGATATATACATAACAGCTGAGCAGGCAGAATGGCCTAAGACTGGCCAGCCGTCCCAACTGGCCAAGCAACTTTCCCCTGGTCATGTCCAGAGCATCACTTTTCAGACATTTCTGGTTCCAAAAATCACCCTCTCTTTCATCAAAACACCATCATTAAGGCCTTAAAAGAGCCCGTGATGAGGCTGAGTCTAAAATTAGCTTGGCCCTCAAATGTGATTGTGGTCCTAAAATTAGACAGGCCATCCAGCTGGGCTAGGGCTTGCGGGAGCTCTTACGTAAGAGCGGCAGCCTGCCTGCCCTCCTTCCTGCCCCTCCCAGTCAGCCTTTCAGATCTTCCCAGGACAATGCTGCAACCTTGCCAGGGCAGCCCAGGCAGAGCTGGGAGACCCCTGTGTACTCAGGCAGGTAGGCTGGAGGTGAGGCCTTTGCTGTGGGATGCCAAGGGGTAATCAGGAAGGGGCCCGGGTCCGAGCTTGAAAAAAATATAGCATCAAGGCATACATTTGAAACTTTCATGTGCCTAAATTTGGAACTGTTCATCTTTTGGCAATGTACTATGAGTTTTCTGATTGGGTCTAAACATTATGTTATGTCACTGTTGAAAAACACCTTTGATTTACTGCAGCCCTTTCATTTAATCGGGGGGGGGGGGG